AACCTGTGAAGGATCCCTGTAGCCGTGTCATTGTTATAGTACTGCTGTTAAGAAGGCCACGGTACTGTAACAATATGCTTATAGACAATTTGGATATTAGACATGTCTATGACATGCCACCATAGGCATATCACCCTAGCATACCAATAACCTTTGTACTACTCACTCTAGTTAAATAAAATAATCTATCAACTAATCAATTAAAAATTTTTCATCAATTTGTATCACTAAACTAAATTATTTATAATTAACTAATTAACCAATTAATAATTAAAACTACTTAAATAGATTTATTCAAGTAATAACCGAATAGATTTACTCAAATTGATTTATCTAAATAATATCAGCATAGCAAACTTTTAATGTAATTTACTGATTATTCTATAATATTGTAAAAATTTTGTTGGTTAATTGAATATTTAAACTTTAACTAAATTATTATAAATAAAAAAACCAATATAGATTATTTCACAGATTACCAAATTACTTTGACAGTTTATACACAAAAATACAGTATATACTTTTAAATTTTTTTGATCTTAACTCTTACCAATTCATACTTGTAATTATCAATGCCTATAAAATAGTATACTAACATATTGTGTAATATTTCAGTCAATCATCCAATCAGGTTTTAGCTTATTCAGATACAACAAATAAAATTTTATACCCAAGTATATATGTGATTTACTCAAGTAACCTGTAGGTTTACTTGTTGGTTAACCAAGTAAAGGTTTAATATGTTAATCAAAACCAGATGCATGACCTTACTTAAATATAAAAAAAAAAAAAAAATCTAACCTTTACCAGCAAGATTTTACCCTTTACAGTAATATTAATTTTATGTCTAAAAAACTTGAGCCCGTGAACCTAGTTGAGACGTCTAATTTTCATGCCCATGGGCATGCCTCAAGTCAGAGGCATGCCTATTTTATTACCCGTGCCCACAACCCTAACGTACGTACGTACCTAAAATCTAAATGCAGGCCGTAATATCAATCTAGGTCAGAGGGTCGACAAAATCTGACATATAGGTTTTACTTGTTTTAAAGTTTCTATATGAGTGCTGCAAAGGGAAAACCTGCAATTGTGAATTTTCCAAAATCAACTGTTTCTGAAAAGCGGAGCCGGCAAAAACCGAAATTGCATTGCGGCACTCATATAATACAATATAGAGGTATATAAGATCATATAATTAACACTAAACTTTTAGTAAAGCAACTTGGTTTTTATAATTGGTTTAACAAATTAAAACATTTGTTGATTGCTCAACTAAAACATTGGGACTCAATGGATCATGAGTAATTGAATTAACTGACCGAGTGATTTAATAATTTTTTTTAACAAAAAGAGGGGAAGACACACTTTTTTCTCAAAATTGCTTTGATTGGCTAATCGTATAAAAATCACGTAACGAATGAACGACTAATGGAAAATCCCATTGAAGGAACTGTTTGAGAACCCCCAATATCGTCTCCAGCGACGCGCATTACATAGTGATGCGTAGTGTGGTGCATTGAAGTAAATAAATCGAATAACACGTCTTATAGACAACTTTCTACTATTGAAATTATCCGTTCCCCCTGTGTTCTGTATATCGGTCGCAATGCTGGATTCAGGGGCAACACCGGTTAAACAATCCTCTAGCCGGTCATTGTTAACCAGATAATTTAATTCTATTAATGTTAAAACATTCGATCACCGCATAATCAATCACGCTTTAATCTTGGTAGCGGTTCACGAATGTTCCAGAAACGAGACAAATAACATAATCGAATTGTTAATAAATCAATTGCCATTTTGATTGAATCCTTAATCAATGACACCTTGGAACCATCAATTTCAT